AGGAGGAGAGCAGCGTTGTCCCATCAGAGCTAGATATGGACGAGGACATTGTCTCCGTGAGCGAGGAATGTTCCGATTCCTCCGTTTCGGAGGCCGAGTCCATGCATGCGGAGCAGGAAGCTGAGGAACAGAGCCCATTCGGGATTGAGATTGTGGAGGACCAAGCCTGCGGCTCTGCGGAGAAAGCTGCAACTGAGGCTGCTCCAGAACCGGAGGACGTGCTGCAGAGAATGGCCGAGGAGCTGGACCGCTGCCCCTGCTGAACCAGCTGAAGCTCCGGGCGCATCGCAGGACGCGTTTTGCCGGGAGCGAAGGTTCTCTAGGAATCTGCCTTCGTTCGCAGAAGATCGCGCGAGGGTGGCCTGGTTTCAGATTCGGTAGCACATTCGTAGGCTGGGCTTTTCGAGAAAAGCGGTAACAGCCTCTCCGGCAACAGCTTCTGACTGCTGACTCTTCGGCTGAAAACATGTCCCCGTGCATCCTGCGAATGTCATTGACTGGTTTCTCGTGGTTCTTAGCCCGATGCTGGCAGGCTTCGCCGTGAGATGCGCGGCATCAGCAGGCCCGATGTGATGATGTGCGTCACACTGGTTACTGGTTGAGTTGACTCATACCAAAGCTTTGGTCCATGTGTGCACGCCTTACTTGTCATTGCAGCGGTCATGTCTGCAAGCTTGCCGCCGTCGGCCTCTTCTGTTCAGTTTGGACTTGTCATTGTTGCCATTACCGGTAGAGGCTGCGGGGCAATCATGTCTCTTCTGGATGGCTTTGATGACGAGCCGCCGGCACGCGTGCCCAAAAACACGGAGGGCCTGGTCCACCAGCCAAGGGTTGCACGCTGGGCACAGCAGGCACAAGGCAGCATCACGGTGTCGCACAAAGACATGAAGACCTGCCAGCTTGCAGACGACATCTCGCACGTTCAGGCATGCAAGGATCCGGCAACTTGTCCCCGCTGCTTGTTTCTGCGGCAGAGGGACCATTGGTGCGAGGCAGGGCTATACCAGATTGACCTAGTGCGCTAAAGGTCTCAGAGTTCAGCCTTGTAGATCCCATTGCAGGTTGCCAGCTTGACGTCGGATCGCTCTGCAGCGGGGACGTGGTTAGAAGCGAGGATGTGCAGCAAGAACCGCTGGGGCTTGGGCTGCTTCGTGTGCCGACAAGCGGGCTTCATTTCACCGTGGGCCGAAGGCCGTGTGCAGACGCTGTCACTGGGTAATGTGCGAAGGCATGGCAACAGCAGCCAGCACGCGCGTGCGGCCAAGCAGGCTGGCTTTGATGGAGTGGACGACGACGAGGATGCCGCGCCAAGCTTGGAAAACTTCACAAAGGTGCTGCAAGCACGTTTGGAGGGTCGGCCTCTTTGCAGCAAGGTCGAGGGCATGGGCTCTTGGAAGATTGGCAAAATGACGTTCTGCTTGGCCGAGGCTGCCCGCGAGAAGACACGACAGGAAATTCGGGGAGCTGAGTCCATAGCGCTCAAGATGGACTCACGCGAAGGAATTTTGTTGCTGAGGTATACCTGCTGCGACAAGAGCCTGACTATCAGCAGGGGCATGGTGGGTTTCAAATTCGTACCAGAAAGAGAGACTTCATCTGCTTTGGTGGCCAGTGTCCGTCGCGTGCTGGAGGATCTGTGCACCAGCGGCATTGACGGCCAAGTGGACGTGGCTTTGGTCAATCATTTCCGCGAGAAAGTGGAGGTCGTCTGTGCTGACAAGGCTTCCAACGAACAAGTTGCTGGTCGCATGAGCCGTACCGGGCCGTCGGCTTTGTTCCCGAATAGCAAGGTTGTCAACCACGACTCGAGCCATGCAATGCAACGGCCGGCCCTGTCCAAACTAGGGAATCTAGGGATACGTAGCTCGTTGCTGACGTCTCTCTCTCTCTCTCTCTCTCTCTCTCTCTCTCTCTCTCTCTCTCTCTCTCTCTCTCTCTCTCTCTCTCTCTCTCTCTCTCTCTCTCTCTCTCTCTCTCTCTCTCTGCGATACAACCTCAGCTCAAACTCAGCAGATAAGTGCATGCAGCGTAGGCCGTCCAGAGTTTGCATTTGGAATCCCCCGGCAGGGTGCTCAAACGCCCTTGGGCGGCGGTGGAGCTGATCCAACGCATTCTCGAGGAGTGGGTCACCGGCGCCAACTCTGTCACTCAGATGATTGAACACAGCCACGGCATGGCCAGCGTGTACCGGAGCTACGTTCAGAAGCTCGAGGTGCCCATTAACGCGAAACGCATCCGAGATCTTCGCGCTGCAAAGCATCGGTTCTCTTCGTTGCAGAAGCCATTGGGCCGGGCCGTTTTGACCTTCGATGCCATGCTTTCTACGATACTGTGGGCTGCAGCACATCGGACCGGTGCAGAAAGAGACAGATGCCTGGCTTGCTTGGCATCGTTGTCCGAGGAAGGCCTCATACTGCTCGCGATGGCTGCAGACATCTCAGACGAGAATATGAGGGTGCTCCGTTTGTGCGATCAGGAAGAGTTCGACGCGGCCGAATTTCCTCAGGAGCTTGGCTGCCTGATGGACAGGCTGCACTTCCTCATCAACAAGGCCAGCTTGGCATGATGACATTTGTGCAAGGTATCATGTAACTTAGTAGCTAAGTACTATAGGTGACAGCTTGCAACTTGCAGCCCTACATTGCGTGAAGACCAAAATCGATGCATGGTTATAGTCGGTACTTAGGGACACGTAAGGGTTGGTACCTCTGCGTGCATCTCCTGCAGTTGCAGGGCAGTGTGCTTTCTCAGGGATACACGCAGTACATGATCGAGTACTTGCAAGATCAGCGTGGTTTCTTGCTGAAGAATGAGGCGAGTACCCTTGGTGGAGAGGGTCGTGTGAACGGAACGATGCTGGCAGGCTGCTGTGAGATCTTCAAGGCATATGTCCGCCTTGCTGTGCATACAGTGGAGCAGGAGTTTCCATACCACGATGTTTTGAGTGCCATGTCTGTCTTGAACATCCGCGAGAAGCGCAAGAATGAAGACAGTTTGGAACACCTCATGTGGACGGAACACCGCCAGGCCAGCTTGGAAAGATTGGCGCAGGTCTGCCATCAGGATCCGCAAGCGTTGCGAGATCAGTTTATGGATCTGGAGCCCATCGCACGCTACGAGGTTTCTGTGAACCATTGCACCAGCTTCGAGGGTTGGAGGGCAGCCGCGCTTCGCTGCCGTGCTAGCAAGCCACAGGTGCGACAGCGCCACAAGATTGACGCGATCTTGCCCGTTCTCATCAAATACGGCTGCTTCTGTGGGCTCTCCACATCGGGTGTGGAACAAAGCTTTTCGAAGCTGCAGCGCTTTCAACCCAAGGAACGAAAGTGCATGCTACCCACTACAGCGGAAGACGAAGCGTTCCTGATGCTCCTGCACGACTGCTCGGTGCACGAGTGGCTATCGCAGCGCGCGCGGCAGATTTGGCTTGACAACTTCGGCAAGCCCCGTGCCAGCTGCGCGACGCGCCTCGACCGTGGGGTTCCGAAACGGAAGGACTCATCCTGATGGTTATAAGGTCCGGGGTTGCTGTGAGGATAGGGGTCTGCGGTTTCGCACATCCAGTCTGTGGTAGGTTGAGGTCTGCGGGATTTCATAGCATTTGCAGGATCCTCAGTCCGAGAAGGCTTTCATAAAGAGGCGCCGGATGGAGGTCGACAAAGGCGCTCTGCCCGTGGATCCAGCAGAGGTGCTGCAGGCCGCTGAGAATGGCTGCTGGGTCAGCCAAGCTGTTTTAGACGAAGAAGGTTGGCAAGTCAGCGAGAAGTACGGCAACAAAGTCATGGCCTACCTGGACGGAGCTCTGCTCGAGTCCGAAGTGGACTTGGCTTTGGTGGAGACGGCCGTGGCTTTAAGAACGCATCAAGAGCGTCTCGATGCTGGGCGAGTAGCACGCGAGAATGCTATCGTGCAGCAGCTCCGGCCAAAGAAAGTGAACGTGCAAGCAGGCTCCTTCTACGTGGCAGATGCAAGATGGGTGGCCGAGCACGGCCTGAGCAACTCCCGCGCCACCGTGACTCTTTCTGAGGCCTCGCACTACGTGGTTGCGGACCCTGGGGACCCGGGCATGCCGGTGTTGTTTGCTGCAGTGCTTCAGGGAGGGCTGTTATGCAATGTCGAATACGCACGATCCAAGGGCAACTCTGGGGTGGCCTTTGCGTTCGATGCTGCCCTACTAGTGAAGCGCTTCATTTTCCTTTCAACAGCATTCCTGCGGTCGGAGTCGCAGGTTGCTCAGGTGGTCCTGGAAGCAGTCAGCCGTGCAGAGTCGAAATGGTCGCAAATTCATGCATTGGACGAGTTTGTGGAAAGAAGTTTGCGTTTCCGTGGGCAGAAGAAGAACTTCCTCTGCGTAGGGCTCTTCGCTGATAGCGAAGAGCACAAGATAGCAGGGGAGCCCAACATGTTCACGAAGAAAGGGTTCCTGAAATTTGTATGCAAGTCTGCGGTTGCGATGACTGGGGTTCGTTGTTGAAAACATAACCTCCGGCAGCTTACCCAGAAGTCTCCTTGCCAGTGCATCTGTCCGAGAGAGTCGCAGCCAACCCTGATTTTTTACGTTGTCCTAACTTATAAGACTCAAGGGCAGAGGCAAGGGCATGCATGTTGCAATGTGCCACCAAGAAGAGGGGAACGGTGCCCCAGGGATCAGGGAGGGCAGCTGAGATGAGAAATATTCACTCTTGCGTGCATTTCTGTGTCGCCGACCGCTGCGCATTCAGACTCATGCAGTCACTTCCGCTTGCGCTGCTGCAGGTGCATGTGGCCAAAAGAACCGCACGCAGGCCCGGGTGCGTGAGTCTCTGAGTGTTTGTACACTGACATGTGGGTCTGTGCATGATACACGCTTGTCCTACACTGCCATGATAGCTGTCGCATGCATGATCATCGCAATTGAAACTGTGCGGATGTGGAGCTCTGCAGCTCTTTGGGTCGTGGATTTGTAGACCGCCATTTCGGCGCTTCTTGTCATTGCCTCGTCTCCTCAGACTTGATTCGTCATGCCGCCCAAGAAAAAGGCCGGTGCGAAGGCCAAGGTCAGCGCAAAGGCAAGTTCGTCTGCCGCGGATGCGAATCAGGGCGAGGAGGTGACAGCCACCCTTCCAGAGAATTTAAACTTGGAGCACGATGCAGCAGTCAACCGTGCGATCGAGAACATCCTTGGATGTCCGGCATTCGCCGATATCCTGACTGCTGCGCCCATCGGCATCAGCACGACTGACGTTGCGGAGCACCTCAGTGGACACAAGGACCTCCTTCAAGAATTTAATCCAGGGGCAGTCCGGACTGAAGTTGTAGGGCTGCATGCAATTTTGTTCGTAGTTATGTAGTCGCTGGAACGAGAGCTAAACCTGCATTGCGGGAGCCACTGTGCGGGCTGCGGTTGGGCTTTGACCAGGATGTTCTTCCAAGGTTTCCCTCATCCTTACGCTGACTTCGGCTGTGGTTTTCCGCAGGCGTGACACTGGGGCTGTGTTACGGGGCAGTTTCCTGTCCTCTCAATGTGTCACTGGGTGTGACGCCCAGACGTTCGAAAATCCTGTCACCCAGAAATAGTCTTGAAACTACATTATAACATGATGAACTGGGTGCCAGGTGCAGGAGAGGCGGGTTTGGTGTGTCACGGGGCCTTTTGCTGAGGTCTCGGCACAGGCGTGACAGTTGCAGGTGTGACGCGGAGGCTTTTCTGTGTTACGGCTACCTTTGCTGAGACTTGAAGACAGGCGTGACGCGAAAGCGGGTTTGTCTGCGTCACGGGGCCGATTGCTCTTCTTTTCCTAGGCGTGCCAGGCTCAGCTGGTGCAGGTGTGACGCGAAGACGGGCTTGGTGTGTCACGGGGCCTTTTGCTGAGGTTTCCGCGCAGGCGTGACAACTGTAGGTGTGACGCGGAGGCTTTTGTGTGTTACGGCTACCTTTGCTGTGCTTTGAAGACAGGCGTGACGCGGCAGCGGTTTGTCTGCGTCACGGGGCCGATTGCGCTTCTTTTCCTAGGCGTGCCAGGCTCAGCTGGTGCAGGTGTGACGCGAACACGGGTTTGGTGTGTCACGGGGCCTTCTGCTGAAGTTTCGGCACAGGCGTGACAGTTGTAGGTGTAAAACTGAGTTGTGTGTCTGCGTTTGCTGTGTTCAACACCAGTGTGCTATATATATAGTAGGTGGAACGCGGGGCTTGTCTGCGCGACGGGGCCGATGCTGTACTGTGAGGTGTAACGAGGAGGCGGGCTTGTCTGTGTCACGGGGCCGACTGCTCTTGTTTTCCTAGGCGTGCCAGGTGCAGGTTTGACGCGAAGACGGGTTTGGTGTGTCACGGGGCCTTTTGCTGAGGTTTCAGTACTGTACTGTAGGTGTCACGCGGAGGCTTTCGTGCGTTACGGATGCTTTGGCTGCGCTTTGAAGACAGGCGTGACGCGTGATGCTGCGGCTTGTTTGCGTCACGGGTCCCTTTGCTGTGTTCAGAACACAGGCGTGACAGATGCAGGCGGGACGTGCAGGCTGGCGTGCGTTAGGGGCCCGATTGCGGTTCTCTTGGTTCCCTGGGCGTGACTTTGCCAGGTGCAGGAGAGGCGGGTTTGGTGTGTCACGGGGCCTTTTGCTGAGGTTTCGGCACAGGCGTGACAGTTCTAGGTGTGATGCTTTGTGGGTTTCGGTGGTCAAATGTAGTTTAGCGGCTGCACTACTTTTGACAGTACTCGCATACGGAGGTTTTTTTGTGCGTTACGGCTGCCTTTGCTGTGCCTTGAACACAGGCGTGACAATCGTAGGGGAGGTTCGTCTCTGTTACCGGGGCCTTCTGCTGTTGTTTCAGACAGGACTGTACGCGTTACGGGGAGGGCTAGGTGGCGGTTCCGTTCTTTGCCCAGCGAATGGGTCGGTGTAACGCGCAGCTTTGTGTGCGTTACGGGTGCGCGTGCTGCTCTTAGGACAGGCGTGGCTGTGACGTGGAGGTTTGGGGGCGTTACGGGGCCTTCTGCTGCGGTTTTCCGCGGTGTGACGTCACGGGTCTTTGGTTAAGGAGGAATGGCTCATGCCAACACACGGTCGGGGAACTGCCCGACCGTGGGCTGTGCCTGAGGCGAGGCTGTTGTAAGCACAGGGGTGCGCACCCCTATGCTTCCATCAGCCGGCCAACTGCCCGGCTGATGGAAGGACTGCTTGCGACACCCTCCGCCCTGATGTAAGAATAGGGGTGGGCACCCCTGTGGTTACATCAGGGGGGAGGGTGTCGCAAGCAGTCCTTCCATCAGCCGGGCAGTTGGCCGGCTGATGGAAGCATAGGGGTGCGCACCCCTGTGCTTACAACAGCCTGCCAGGATTCCGTGAGAGGAGGGCTGGGAATGAAACCCCCTTGCAGGAATGAAGGCCACGGCTGGTTCAAGGGTGGCCTGCGTCACGGGGCTTGTCCTGCAGCTCGTCACGTTTTTTGGGGCCTGATCTGCTAGTATCCCTTTCCGTGGCAAGTTTGATTGGCTGCATGCGCGTTGCCTCTGCTTGTTTTTGCTTGTCTCCGGTGGCTTATGTTTGCGTAGGCCCGGGGAGCTTGAGTGGCGTCCTGTGTCACGGGCTTTATTCGTCTGTACTTGCGGTTTCCCTGGGCATCCTCTAGTTTCCAGAATACATGTCAAGTCTCTGTGGCTTGGTGTTTCGTGGGGCCTTGTTCTGTTTCTCCAGAGTTCCTGCGGAAGTAGCACGTTTCAGTGGCTGTGGGCTGCCAGGATGCCTTTGAGCAGAAGAAGTATGACGCGGCGTTCTTTCGCCACGGGAAGTATGCTGCGGCCGGAAACCTCTTCTGGCTGAATCTGAGGTGGAGTCCCGCCAAAAGCGTACCTACCAATCGCGATGGGGTGAAGATGCTGCAGGCAAGGATTAAACGGGAGAGGAGCTTCGACTACAACCTCGTCGTTGCAGTGGCTCCTGATGGTGCCTTGGAGCTCGGGAACCTCCGAAGGATCTCGGCACAGGAGTACGACGAGGCCTTGCTCTTGCTGGTGAGTGAAGTGATCGATGCGGCCCCAGACGTGTCGGAGCTTCTGTCCCTGGGCTGTATAGGAGACCTCGCAAGTCTCACCAGCGCGGCTTGCGGTGTTGTTTCAGACTGGTATGTGACTGCGAGGTTCTGGCGCAAAATCGTGCTTTCCGTGACCTTGTGCTTCGAGCAGCATGCGAGTCCCATGGACGCCTTCATCAGAAGCGCGATTGCCTCAGAGACATGAGAAGCCTATATCAACTTGTATGTTGCATGCGACACAACATGACAGTGCTTGTGAGGCATCACGGAACAGAGCGGTAGTTTCGCATAAGGGCCCTTTGACATTTAGGGTGCGGAAGCATTCTCAGGTCAATCTCCGCAACGATATTGCCGACGAGTTCGAAGCTGTGCTTCGCAGTGGACCACAGAGAATCATGGAACTCATGCTGTTCCGGAAGCGTTTGGAGGCCGCCAAGGGAGGTGGCAAAATCACCAACGAGCAGGTGTACGAGGCCTGGATCCGCCAGATCCCGAATCGGGAATCCAAGGTGCTGGAGAAGGTGAGCCTGGATTTCGTCTGCGCTGCGCAGAAGATCTATACCAGGCTTCTTCAGGACAGCGATTTGCGAAGCTTGGTCTTCCAGTTGGAAGAAAGCTGGGGCAAGGCCAGCCCTTTTTGCCAGCTTGGGACTTTGGAAAAAGTCGTGGTCAAGGCGACGCCGATCGGCTGGACCCTTCGCACCGTGAAGTTCATGCTTGAGACACAGATAGCCTTTCCTCGCGACTTCAACGCCAGCACGCTGGTGCCTGGCTTGCATGTGTGTTTTTAAGGCTTTCCCTATATGCCTGCCGCAACATGCTAATTTCAGAGACCCGCGAGGACCCTCCGCGTGGCAAGGGCCTCATCACGCTGTTCAACTTCAAGCACGAACTGCTGCAGCACCTGCTGACGTCATTTCTGGAGTCGCTGCCGATGCCATTCGATGACAAAAAGGAGATTCGAGACCGGTGCTCCTCGCACCAGCTCTTCCTGGACAACTCGCGTCCCGAGAACATGCAGTGGCAAAGCACAGTGAGTGAGGCTGCGCGGAAGGTTATCGCCTTCCTGAAGGCTCGGGTTTTGACGTGTTGCCACCAAGTTGCGCTCCCACGGAATCTTTGTCCCGTTGCTATGCGAGTGTGTGAATCAGCGGCGGTGTCAGGCAGATGTCTACGGTGTGACCAACGACGGCCACTACAAGACTTCCCTGCGCGGTACCATTGTTTTCAAAGACTTGTTGACGCAATGCTCCCACTTGGCCGACAGTCTTGATGAAATCCAGACTCTGCATGGCCAACAAAGGGATGGTGGCTCCGGGAGCCGCTGCAGATGAGCAGGTGCCCGGCGCCCCTGCAGCGGCGCCGGACATGAGTTTCGTGGACCCTAAGATTGTAGCGGTGGATGACTCGAACGAGCTTGCAAGGTGGCAGGCCAGCACCAGATTGGTTTCGCATTGCATGGAGGGTCGGGAGCAGGCATGAGTTTGTAAGCTTGTATTCTGGGATGATAGTTGCAATGGGAGGAACACATCCAGACAACAACGGACCAATTCGTGAAGCTCATTCCTGACACTTCATCCTCCTACACAGAGCTGGCAGCGGCTCTCGGCAACACGGTGGTGAAGAGCTGCAGGCCGTATGATGCAAATCTCCCGCCCACCGCTCCTTCGCAGGGATCTGTCATGTTGTACATGGACACGAAAACAATGGGGGAAGCCTCGGCTTTGCCTCATTGCCGGCTCCCGCCATTCCAAAAGTCCTGGGTCACCAAGTTCCTCCATGGCTTCGTGAAAGCTCGCTTCGAGGGCGTGGGTGAGGACCCGAGCCAGGACGGGGGTCTAAGTGCTGATGCAGGGTTGGGGAGCAGTACATTACATCCGCATTGTTGCATGCCCGTGCATGTTGCCACATGCGGCAGGAGGGCGAGCTCATCAGAGGGGACATTGTCGCGATCTTAGACGGGGGCCGCGAGGGCCTCTCGTCGCAAATCGCCAGCGTCTTCACCAATTATGCGGCGACGACGGGCAGCAACATGATGACCAAGGCCCGCAATCCTTTCTATGTGGTTTACTCTTTGGAGGGTATCCAAGACAGCAGAGAGCGCATTCGCGGCATCTGCAATCAGATGGAGTCTATGAGCATCTACAGTCTCGATGGGTTGTGGCTTCCCAAGCGCAAGCGCATTGTGCTCGATGGCGCCAACAATGGCAACGTCTTTAACCCTGTTGCAGGGCTACCAGATGCCCCGCTTTGCTTATAAGTTAGTTAAGGAACTCAGGGAACTTATAAGTGAACTTATCTTGAAGTTATGTAAATGAGTTATAAGTAAGTTAATCAGAACTTAGAGCTAACTTATAAGTTGAGTGTAAGTTCATTTGTGTTTTGCTCCAGGGTTTTTTTTTCCACTGAAGACTGTTGTCATCGTCAATGCAGACACGAGATTGTGTTGCCTACGCATCTCATGTAAAGTGGCAGATTGATGTCTGCAGAAGGTGTCAGGGGCAGCAAGGTCTGTCTGTCAGTAGTTTGCCAGACGGACCCCCAAGCATGCTTCCGTAGAAGCTGCAGGCGCACTGTGAGCACACAGAAGCCGGATCTTCCGCGGAAGCATTCCAGCACTTGAGCAGCTTTATCATCCCACATGATGACGTCTTGAGGCCGGATTAGCAGCTTGCCGAAGCGCAGTGCTTTGCCGGACTGGAGATCGGGGTCGCTGGCGAAAGCTCGCAGTTCGCAGGATGCTGGTCGGAAGGGCTTCAGCAACTCCGGAGGCAAGAGTAAGCCATGTTCCTCAGACTCTCTCAGCGTCACATTGAGCAGGCGAGAGAGCAGCGCGATCTGGAATTTTGAACTGACATTGACGTGAGCTCTTTGGTGCGCAGCGATGTAGGATTTGTAGACCCTGTGCTTGGATTCCTGGGTTTCGCAGTTGGGGAGAAAGGACAGAGTGACACAGCCCGCAGGCAGGTGCAATCTATGATGATGCTTAGGCCGCATGGTTTCGCGACCCCACGCCTGCGGCCAGGCTTCTTGATGCTGCTGCTGTAAGCGATGGAGCATCTGCACATCAGCTGAAGCCAGGGGTCGCTTACTTGCCTTGAGGCGTCGCAGCTCCGCAGAGATGCTCTTCAAGAGGAAAAAACTCCTGCAGACTGCAGGCTTCAGCTCTGCCTTGTGTAGGAGCTTGTGAACAAGATAATAGAGCAAGAAAACAAAGTTCCAGCACAGGGCACCGTTGCCTTTGAAACCATCATTGGAGTCGTAGAGGGTAGACCGGAAGCAAGACTTCAGTTCTCCAGCAGTCTCTGCGCGCGGTTGCCAACCTTCGTCTTGCACCAGTTGCCACAAGGCATCCAGATCGCGGATGCTTTGGAGCTCGCGCATGGCGAGTCCTACCTCCCAGGAGGCCACCCCGTTAACAAAGTAGGCATGCAACACGTCATTGCACGCGCAGGAGGGAGGCAGGCGTTCTCGAGTGTCTGCGTCTTGAAGCAGTGACCCTGGCACGAAGTTGAAACCATATGCTTTCTGCATCCTGGCGCGTTCGCCTGCAGTGGCAATGGCAGCCAAGTGATCCGCCGCGGCGAAGATCTCAGAGTCAGATGCGATGTGAAAGCTGTGAAATCTGCTTTCGCAGATATCAACAAACCTTCCAGAGCCCGTTGCGGCCTGTGGAGCATCGCGCTTGAGCAAGTTCGCGCACCAGAGGCAGGGCTTGTACCCGCTGGAACCTTTATTGCAGTAAGTGGCACGTTGGGCATCGTGATCTGCAATGAAGAGAGCCGTGGGAGCGAGCTGAACTCGAGCCCGTGCACCATGGGCACCCATGTTCAGGTCGAAGCCTTGCCTGTTGGCAGGCTGCAGGATATGCTGCAGCACCTTGACCGTGGCAGCTGAGACACCGCCCAGCACGGTATCGGCTACGTGATGCTGCAGCAGCGCCACGGGCAGCCATGCATTTTCCTTGGCCGTAACATGGCCGAACTCTTGGAAAGTCAGGTACCAGATGGTGGCCTTGAGCTTCTTCTGGGGACTTAAGATGTTTCCCGCTGTGCACTCGTCGTGATACAACAGGACGCGAAGAGTTGCAGTCCTCGCGAGCGCGGCTTGCAGCATGGAGCACCATTGCGAGCTCTTAGCCGCGACTTCCTGCAGCATCGCTTGGGCGTCTGCCACCCAGAAGTCTAGCTCCGAGCCACGGGTTCCTTGCAGCGTCAAGCGGCAGTAGCACTTCTGGAGAGGGGCGTAGTACTCACTAACGCGGCGCCAGAAAGTACCCTTGGACCATTTCTCATTTTCCTGCGCGCGTCGATTCTGGATAGCCAAAACTGTGGTCTCACTTGCACCACGCAGGTGCAGGCAAGAGGCGACAGCTTCTGCGTCCAGAATTTTTCGTTTCTTGTTGTTGACCATGGCACGCAGCGTTGCTTCTCATGTACTTACTAACCGAGGCTTGCAGGGATTTGCGGCTATACCAGAGGGTTTCTTTTCAGAGGGCTTCGTTTCAGGCCGCCATGTCTTTATTGGGTATAGTCATGTTTCCGTGACCACACTAAGCCCATAATTTCTAAACCTAAACGGCCCGAACTTTGACTATAAAGCCTCTATAGAAGCCTATTGGATACCAGGGCTTCCCGACATCCTAAAACCTCTGTAACTTCTTCCCCTATGAAAAAATGTGTGTCTGTATTCATCTTTTAAGCATTTTTAATAAGAGCGGTTTTTTAGGGTTTGTATATATGTGGGGTGTAGGGTTGGGGGTCTACTGTTTAAGATTAGAAGTCTGCACAAAAGCTGCGAAGAAGAGCTGGTCCCAAGAACTTAGTATTTGCAGAAGTCCAGGCAGCAGCTGTAACAGAAGGGTTTTGAAACCATGGCTGAGCATGTGAAAGAGACCTTCTTTTTTGTAGCACCTGCAGCACTCCTCAGTCGAGACTGTGTAGGTCCAGGTCTTTTGGAGTCGTCTCGAAAGAGAGGTCTCCTTTGAGATCAGAAGCGGAGGTCGCCCCGAAGACATTCCCGGGCATTGGTGCTTGAGACGAAGACCCAGTGCCAGCAGCTGAACTGCTTGGAGCAGTTTCCAGGTCCCTGCTGGCTGTCGATGGCATTTCGCGGGTACGCTCAAGAGCCGCAGCTCGTTTGTTGCATCCGCGCGTATGTCCTCTGTCGGGGGTGCGATCGCAGGTGCGACAACAGTAGAGGCGCATGGACGAGACCCTGCGCGGGCAGTTCAAGCAAAATTGCCCAGCCCTCTCAGCTAGCCGGCCAGAAGCACTAGCTGCGGCCAGCCTTTCAGCACGTCGCGCACAGTCTTCTGTATGCAGGCCTTGCTCTCGGCAGAGACTGCAGCAGTGTCTGTGCCTAGCGTCGTAAACCCTGACAGGGCAGCGTGGACTTCGGCAAGGCCACGACTCCGCGTGAAGGACCGGCACGGAGCTGGGGACTGAGCTCTGGACAGCCATCGACGCTAACACCTTGAGCCAACCCAGGTGGTACATGGAAAGAGGTATCACAGCTATATTGATCGCAGACAGCAGAAGCACAGGACTGCTGCCAAAGGGATAATGCACATCTGAAGTAAAGTCAATTCAGAAAATCAAATGCTCTGGGCATGGGGCTCCTTTTATTCTTTTCTGCGAACCCAAGACTTATGCTGGTATAGATTTGCTGCCGAGCATACAGGCAGATGCAGATACACCGCGCATCCTCTGGGAAGATAACACGGTCAAACACAAAACCACAAAACGGCTCTTAGCCGGAAGAACTCTCTCAAGCCGCTGCTTTGGCTTTCCCATTGACGCGGCGCTTAGGCTTAGCCTTGGCTTTGCCTGCGGCCTCAGCAGCTGCAACAGCCTCGTCTTTCTTGGCGCGGACAGTACTGCGCAGCTCCTTCACAGTAGCTTTGCTCGCCTTCTCGTAGTCCGAAAACGTCTCCGCAGTGAAGGGCAGAGCAGGGAGAGACTGCACCGGAGCCGCCGGGTCCTTGCGGGCAGCGTTTTCGTAGTTCTCCTGGAACTGCAGAGCTGAGGTGGCAGCGGTCTTCCAGGCGAGAGCCGTAGCTAAGGCCTCGGCGAAGCTTGTGCGAAGGTCAGGCGCGAGGTCGTCCCAGAACTTCGTGGCGAAACCCTTAGCCGAGTTGAGCGAGGACACCAGCGTGGAGAGGGGGCCAACAACCTTGGCTGCCAGAGCAGCCGTTGTCTTGTTGCTTTTCAAAACCAAGCGTTCCGCTTTGGCTTCCTCCTGCGCCTCCTTCTTCTCAGCTTTGTTGCTTTCGGAAGCTTTGCTTCCTGCAGCAGCGGAAGGAAGGTCCAGGTCTGGCTCCTGCTGCTCTCCCTCTTGCAGCTTCCTTTTCTTGCCCTGCCGGCTCTGGGTCACCTCCTGCTCTTTCGTAGTGAGCTCCTCGTCGATTTCTTCGTCGATCTGGCGAACCGTCTTCTCCATGACGGGAACACGCCACACCGTGCCCAGCTGGGCATCCTCCATGAAGTCCTCCTTGGCCCGGACCTGGCTCTCGGTCCAGCCAGCAGCCAAGTGAACGTTCATGGGAAGGTACTTCCCTCCCACACTGACTTCACTTTGCTTGATTCTCCGCAGAATCATGTGCTCCTTGACGAGGGCCCGCACGGTCTTCCACTCCAAGCGGCCAGAGCCTTTGCTCTTGATCTTCTGGTAGAAGGTGACCTTGTCCTCCAACGTGGTAGCGACCTTGCCGCCCAGCTTGTGCTGCAGCATGGACGAAACGTTCACGCAACTCGAGCAGACAAGCTGGGCCCCACGTTTGCTCACCTTCTCACAGAGCAGGAGGCAAAGGGCGCACTTTTGACGCTCTGGCTGCGCAGGGGCTTCAGCCGCAGCCGAGGCTTCACGCAGTGTCGAATCCGCCATGCTGTGGCGGGCAAAGAAACGGCGAGGCGCAGAGGAAGCTAAAGCGACTGGAGGAGCTGGAACTGCGGACAACCCCGAAGCTTGGATTCGGCCGGTGCGTCTTTAGTATACAAGAAAATACAAGAATTATACAAGAATTATACCTGCGGAAGCATACAAGATATACAAGAATGCGGTTATAAACCAGAAAGGCGGTTGACCAGGCTTCTGTATTTGTATGAGTGTATACAAGATTTATACAAGAATTGATGCTATCCTAGAAAAGCAGGTTTTGTATAGTTATACAAGAATAATACAAGAACCCTACACGATAACAAGTTTTTCCATACAAGATTATACAAGAATGACAAGGCCATGGTTTTGTTACGGGCAGGGCTAAACAACATCTCACAGGGATACGCGGGCATTGACTTCTCTAAAAAGCGACACGTCCACATCTGCAGACCAAAGGCGAGAGTAACATCTACGAGAGCCTCGGACCTCGGTCTTCAATTCGCTACCTGGGATTATGATGGGCAGAAGGGTTTAGGGCTTCAGGACGTATATATGAGGGTATATATAAGGAAACTTGGAAGGGTTTATAAAGCTCGCCGAAAAGGTTAACGTTTATATGTCAACAGGGAGGCTTAGAGGGTTGAGGAGTTATATAAAGTGTATGTTTACAAGGAACCTTAGAAAACTTTAGGGTTCAGGAAAGATTTATAAGGGTTTTGAGGGAGTGTCAGATCTACATCGAGCTTAATGGTTTCGGGGTGCGAGCTACAGAGGGACGTTCTGGACAGACTGCAGCTGTTTTTTTCCGTAGAGGCGGCAAAAACTGCGGTCACCATTCCCGAAGCTCGCGGGCCGCGATCTGAAACAAGGCCGTTAAGACCTTGCCCCGGTCCGGGCCGTCGGGGGGATCCTTAGGATCCTTTTTTCCGCCTAGGGCAGGACCTCTCGGCGAAGGACTTCTCTCTTCCGGAGGAGGAGCTTTTTTGCTGTCGCCGCGCCACAACTTTTCGGCCTCGGCCTTTCCCTGGGTAACGCACCGCTGCCAGGGCCGAACACCACGGCGCCACAGCACCCAAGCCAGGTGTGGCCCGGACCGTTCGTGCTGCTGGAAACCCGCAACCCCGCCGTGGATTTGGCGGTTGCAGATGGTGCAGGTATTCACTGCATCCTTCGCCTTAGACACAGCAGGGGCTGGCGTTCTCTTCCGGGAGAGGCCACGGTCCCTCGAGACCTTTTTTTCTTTCTTACGCCCCTCCTGGCTTCGGCGGCGACGGTCGCGGCTGTCGTGGCGTCTACCTCGCCTGGAGCGAGAGCGTCCTTTCCTGTCGTCCTTCTTTTTTTCTGCTTGTCGCGGTCAGCCTTGGAGCTTCCTTTGCGTTCCCCCTCCGGGCTCTCACGCTTTTGGCTGCTCCGCCGACCGGTCGGGAAGACACTGGGCTCCGCAGCAGCAGCGCGCGCAACCCGGTTCGCCACCAGCCTCGCCCGCAGGCGTGCAGCTTCGCTTGGTGGTTCTGTCGGCTCGGGCGGGTGGTTGCTCGTGGCAGGCGGAGTGCTGAAAGCGCCCCCGGCCGCCACAGCGGTCGGCGCTGCCCCTTCCGGCGGCTCAGCAGCCTGCTGCTCCTCGGAGCTGTCCTCCGTGCTGTCCTCGGAGGGCTGGACCATGGCACCTGCAGGATATTACAGGTATACAGGGTTTATAGGGTTTATAGGGTTTAAGGTTTCAGAGTTGAGCGTATAAGGAGTGGTTGTGGAAATAAATAAATAAGCAAATTTGTATATATATATATACATATCTAGAAGAAACTAGCCGGGAAAGAGTCCGCAGACATATCCCAGAAACACTCCGCAGACACCTGCTTGCGGCCGCAGCCGCAGATGCAGGTGCTGCTTTCCAAGCGACAGTCCGCAGACTGATGTGCCGCTGCTGCAGTCCGCAGACTGCAGCAGCCCCTCCGCGTCCGCAGCCGCAGAGGTTGTGATCCTGACTTCCGCAGACGGAGCCAGGGCAGTCCGCAGACTGCGGCACACTGCATGCGGCCGCAGCCACAGGTGCCATCTCCGCAGAGACCGTTAAGAAAGCGCAGATGATTCTGTATCTCGCCGCAGCAAGACACGGAGTAATAGTATAGTAACTGTATATATATATATAGATAGATAGATAGACTACACAAATACATTTTCTGTTCATTGTATATATATATATATCGTGGACTGGAAGGGAAGGAAAAGGGGAGAGAGGATTCTGGCTGTTTCTCAGTGCCAGCATAATCTTGAACTCCTTAAAAAAAATTCAAGAACCGGCATGCCTCGAGGCTTGAAGAGCCAGTCCGCCCCCCAGCCACCTTAGCAGCACCTGTCCAGGCCCTTGAGCAAGGAGGGCTGCGAAGTTTTTTTGTTGCTTTGGACAGTGTCTGTGCATGTGTGGGTGGGTGTGCACATCTCCCTGTGTGTGTGTGTGTGTGTGGGTGTGTTCACGTGTGTGTGTGTGTGTGTGTATGTGTGTGTGTTCGTGTGTGTGTGTGTGTGTGTGTGTG